GGTGTAGAAAAACAAAAGAACAGAAAATTAAAAATCAAAAAAAAAAAATTAGGGCAACTAAGTAAATTTCTACATAAGTTGGGTTGAGATACCTTTTGTTTTGGGTGAGTTTCATGGGTTGTATTTGGGCTGCTTGATGGGTCAGAATGGGCTACAAAAAATAATAGATTAACTTGGGCTCAGCCCAAATTGACCCATGAGCTAAAATGTTTGTAGCCCAACCATTAATCTCTGGAAGGGTTGGGCGGGTTGGATGGGTTTGGGTTCAAAATGCCACCCCTAGTTACTATTCGTAGCTCCTATTTAATTTTTATCAGCTTGTATCACTTTTATTCAGATGCGCAACGAATACAGCATGTGTCAACTGTATTTGTTCGCGCAATAAATACAACATGTATCAATTGTATTCGTTCATTCGTGCAATGAATACAGCCTGTATCAAATGTATTTGTTCGCGTGACGAATACAAACAAGGCGAAATACAAGGATGTATACAAAGAATACACCCTTATATATGCAAGGGCGTAACATTGTTATCCATGTATCGACTGTATCGTATTGACTGTATTCGTTCATGCAGTGAATACAACCAACGCAGAATACGAAATACAGGAAAATAAGACTACTCTCATTCAGAGTGGAATTCAAAACCTCCACTTACTAAGCAGGCGCGCTAACCAACTGAGCTACGAGCGCATGTTGCTCTATTTTTTCATTTCAAAACAATTGATTTCTTTTTTCGGTACTACAGGTGTATTTGCTATAAAATTTAAATATAGCTTTGAATGGTAATTTTTTTGAAAGTACGAATGATAAATACAGTATATATATATTTGTAGTGTCATGTAATTTTTCCTATTGTGTAATTACTAGGTTGCGTAATCAGTATCCTCGAAACTACACCAAATCCAAATACAAGGTGTACTTCCAAGCAAACTCTAAAAAATTTTAAAAAAAATTTGGTGTTCCTCTTAGACCTACAATTGCAATGCTTTTGTAACTTAATATAAATTATGCAAAGCAAATTAAAAATGTGCATATGGAATTAAATGAAAGCGAAGCCCTGCAAAGCATAAACTATTGTATCCACACAATTTAACTATACTTCTATACCGGGTTCTATTGATTGGTGCATATTTTAGGATTCATATCATTAATGCATGACATAGCCATGGAAACGAAGGAAAAAAATAAAAAGAGAGAGAGAGTTATGAACTTGCTAGGGCATCTTCCATCTTCTTAGCCATTCTCTGCAGCCCAACTTCATACTTCTTGACCAAATCCTCAAATGTCATCCTTTCAACTGGATCAACGGTGATAAACCACTCGATCACACATCCATTTTGACCATCAACTTCATCTGGGACAATCCTGACCGTCGAAAAGTATGACTCGAACCCAATGTTACAATCCACTATCTCATAACTTAATGTCCTCTCAATTAGATTAATAGCCACCAACCTCTCCTTGGACCAGCTCACCGGAGCTTCTCCGCCAGCGGCACCGCCACTCTCCGGTGGGAGAGAGCCTCCGGCGCAGTATCGTATGCAACCAACTTCACCATTTTCACCATAGATGCCATAACATGTTGACAAGCTAGAGAACCATTTGTTAAGGCCAAAGAAATCTTTGAAATGAGAAAATATTTGGTCTGCACTAATTGCCTTTCGTAATCTTGTTGAAACTTTAATTTCCCACTTTGGTTGTGAATCTTTTTCCTCCATTAAAGAAGATGAATTCAGATCCAACCTGTTATTGATGGAAGACTATATATAAGTAGAGTTTATAATATTTATTTATATATTTTGAAAAAAAGGGATATGGAAAATAATTAATGAGCCTTGGGAAATTTCTGTATATAAGGACAACTAGATTTGGGACTAATTTATTCTTGTTGGTTTTGTTTGTCTTCTTCTATTTGGAGTTTGGAGGGCTCACATTAAATGCGTATCCAATTTATATTTTAGCAAATCAAGAAAAGGATAACTTTTTTTCCCTGTATTATTCTTATCTTTTACTATTTATTCCGCAAATTATTTTTCAAGATTTTTTGGAATTTTTTATTATTATTATTATTAATAAAATTATAAAAATATACTTTTTGTAAAGGAAGTGCAAAATAAAAGTTGACTATTAAAAATGAACGAAAGGACTATACAAATCTTTCTAGTCGGTCCTTTCTCGATAGTGCTTCTAACTAGACGAGGAAGGCCCATATACGGCCCAATATTGTAATTTTATTAAAATTATTATTTATTTGGTGTTTAGTTAATTAGCTTTTGAGGTTTAACAAGCTATATATTTTAAAATTACGTTTGAATATAAAAATATTTAATTTGAAATTATCTTTGAATAATATGGTAGATGAAAATTATTTAATTTTATTTTCAAATTGCTTTAAGATACTATGGGTAAATATGAAAATCTTATAAATATCGATACTTCTTTTTTTTGTTGTATTATTTAAAAAATTAATTTTATTGTCTCTATAAACAAAATTAATAATTTTCCAAAATGAGAAAAAGATTGGAAATGAGCATTTGCACTGCACAAATAGTCTAATCAACAGATGCATAATGCATTTAAAGGAGAGTTGTGGCTGAGGAATATGGGGTTAAAAGCTGTGTGATGTACTATACTTTTAGATTAAGCTTGTTATGTTTTTCTTCAGAAAATAAAATAAAATAATTTCAAGGTCAGCCATGTCAAACCTTCTTTCTTTATTATTACTAGATGAAGAAGGCCCATATACGGGCCCAACATTATAATTTTATTAAAATTATTATTTGTTTGGTGTTTAGTTAATTAACGTTTGAGGTTTAACAAGCTATATATTTTAAAATTACGTTTAAATATAAAAATATTTAGTTTGAAATCGTCTTCGAATAATATGGTAAATGAAAATTATTTAATTTTTATTTTCAAATTGCTTTAAGATACTATGGTAAATATGAAAATCTTATAAATATCGATACTTCTTTTTGTTGTTGTATTATTTAAAAAATTAATTTTATTGTCTCTATAAACAAAATTAATAATTTTCCAAAATGAGAAAAAGATTGGAAATGAGCATTTGCACTGCACAAATAGTCTAATCAACACATGCATAGTGCATTTAAAGGAGAGTTGTGGCTAGAGGAATGTGGGGTCCACGTGTATTTTATATTTAAAAAATACAAATATGAAATTTTTATAAAATGACATATATGCCCTTGGTCAACCATCTTTCCTTTTCTATATAATAGAAAAATATGAAACTTATTCTTTTCCTGAATAGTTGGTGGGGGAACAAGAATATTAAACAACATAATAACTTTATTTTAACAGACGTCCCCGTTAAATCTATTCAAATTTTTCGTTTGGTCACATAAATTAAGCTTATGACCTATTGAATACTTGATGTATACTCACCTATTGAACCTTTCAAAATTGTTAAGGTTAAAAAAATGCGCATACTTAAGTGTTCGAAAATGTGGCGATAAACAAATAATATAATGATACGTGACACTGTGAGCATGTTATTTTTGCCCTATCGGAATTATTCCTATAAAATTAAAAAGAATAGATTTTTCCAAATTGTTTTCAGTTTTATAGGATTTTGTAGGAGTTTTCGTTACTTGTTTGCATTTTTTTGCACGTTTAATTATGTTAAAATTATAAAATTAAAAAAATGCCCCAAAAATGTCAAAATATCATGCATTGTATATCAGATTTTATGTTCACATTTTAGGATTAATTGGTTAATTAATTGCATTATTAAATAAAAATCACAAAAAATACCATAAATTCTTGTATTTTTAGTTTTTTAATTTCAAATTATTCTTTCATTAGTTTTAGGTTAATTAATTATCTAAGTATTAGAACTAGTAAGTAGTATAATTTTAGAAATTAGAATTAAGTTAAGGCTTAATTAGGATTTTTAATCAATTTAGGATTTAAAATCAAGAAAAAAAATAATAACAAAAATATGAAGAGTTTGTTTGGTCTTAGTAAAATTGGGCCAAATTTTCATGCCCAAAACCGCTCATGTCCAGCTCAATTCCCTTGAATACCCGGTCCAAATTTCCTTTCTTATCAAAACGACCCTGTTTCACCCTTCCTAATCCCATCCGTTGATCATCATGAATCCGACGGCTGGGAATTGGTCGTCCATTTTATATAAAACTGTCCGAAGACAGACCCCCCCTCCCCCATAGACCCCTCTCATTCCATCTCCCTGTCTCTACACCAGCAAACCCTAGCCGCCCCAATTCACTCTCAACCTAAACGGTTCAAACCCTAGCCGCCGCCCACCGAAAATTGTCTCACGGCGGCGGCCGTTCCCTAAACCACCCCGAACCTTCACCCCACAACCTCCACCTCCTCCTCATCCCATATCCTCTCTTAATTTCCTCCAAAATACCCTAGAATCGCCTGATTTTCAAATCTAAGAATGGTCATTCACTAGTCAAAGTCCCCATACTGCTCTTCTAGCTTCCTTTTAATCAAACCTTCAATTCCTCATGGATTTCTGACCTGCGAGGTGTTTGACAGACTGAGCATCTGAAAAAATACTCGTTGGCCAGAAATGCTTGGCGATTTGAAGAAGCAGATTCGAGCAACTTTTTTTATCTTTATTTCTTGTTTGTCGTTGGCCGTCCTCTCCTCTTTTGGCATGGCTGGTTCCAGTAGGTAATTTTTCTTCTTTTCTTCTTTTCCTTTTCATCTTCTTTTTGTTTTCTTTTTCTCCGTGTTTTTTTTAGCCAAACAACTTTTTCTGTTCCTTCTTGAATTCCTCTTCAGTTTGTTTGCCCTAATGATCAAGAGGCTTAATTATCATTAGTTTAAAACATACAACAGTTAGTTTAATCGATTTTAGTTTACTGGCTGAATTAGGCTTTGGTCTTGTTTTGTTTCTGATTTTGCATGATTTACTTGCCATCTAATTGCATGATTCTTTTGTTTTTTTTAGTTTAATTGCATGTTCGGTTTAATTGATTCAACCCTAGTTAGTTCAGTAATCTAGTTTGGATGAATTAGTCTATTATTTCTGTTTCATTATGATCTGTGATAGCTTGTTTGCCATTTGGAATTAAAGGGTTGAATGGGTAATACTGAAAACTCTAAAGGGTTAATTGGATACCCAAATCAGAGAAAACAAAAGCTGGAATGGCCTAGTTGATTCTAGAAGGTTCTAGAAGGGTTTAATGGTTAGTTAAAGATCAGAATATAGGACATACTGAAATATTTAGTAAATGAAAGGGTAAAACTGGTTTTACATAAGGTAAAAAATCAGAAGGTTCTAGCATTTTGTACAGCTGCCCCATTCTTAGCATGAAAATGCTGAAATTGGATGGGAAAAAGGACATAAAGCTGTCAAAAGATGTTGTACTATCTGACCCTTAGGGAATTTAGGGTAGAATATGCTCTTTTGATGCTATTTTAGGCATATCCTATAAAAAGAAAGTTACTCCCTCATTCTAGATAAATTTCAGAACCCTAAAAACACTCTAAAGGTTCAACTATTGTTTCATTTGTAGCTGATTCTCTTTTCCTCTCCTCTGATTTTTGAGAACTTCTTTGGGATTTTCTGGTTTTCATAAGTCGAAAATGGATTGAATGTGAAGCTGGTGTATTGCTGTTTTGCTGGTTTTTACTGATTGCTGATATCTATCTTGTTTTTGAGGATTCCTTATCTTTTCTTTGCTCCTTGTAACCAGGTATTCTTTGGACCTTGAATAACAAGTGGAATGGAAGCATGCTTTTCCTTTTCAAAGTTGTGTTTTGTAATACGAAGTTCTATTCAAATTTCAAGTTTTAGTTCCTATTGTATGTTTTCCGTTAAGTCAATCCTTTTTCTTTGTAATTTTCTTTATCTTTTGTTCAACCCATGAATCTACTATGCTAGTCTATGATTTAGTTACGGCCCTCATGTTTGAATGATTAAAAATAGTTTAGTTTTTTTCCGTGTATTGTTCAAGAGCTCAGGGTGATTGATGCTGTTTTGAGCTCATTTGTTGTTCATTTGCGTGAGATGCCATGCTGGTCATGGTATTTCCTTTGGATTTTGGCGTCCAAACATGTGTTGAATTTCAGTCTAAATAGTTTTAGCTTAAAAGTGTTGAATTTCAGTTTTCTTTTACATGTGTTTCTCCTAAGTTATTTAGCTGTCTAGTTCTCTTAGCTTTTTACAAAGTGTTTTTGATCTGTTTGATAGTCAATAGTTTAGTGGGAAATTTCATGTGTGAATGTTCGAATTAGATCATCTTTTCATGTACTGATTCAGGATTTCAAGTTGGTAAGCACCTCCAGTAGTTTATTGGGAGAATTACATCGCTTGTCACTTGGCCCAACAACCTATCAAAAAATGGCCCATGTTTGAAGCCCTTACTCAGTATAGCCCAGGTTGTACATAATCTGAAAATTAATTTTCACCAGTTAGCCCATCCCTTATTTCTTCGTTCCCTTTTTTTCTTCGTTCTTCTTCTCCTTCCCATGTGTCAGCTTTTGCACCACAAAATTTTTCTACAATTGTTATTCTCCTTCAATTCTTTTCCGGATTTTAATGGTTAACTAAGGATTTAAAAAATAAAAGTCACCATTACAAGTGGTTCGAAGATTCGATTTCAGAAATTGAGTTTTCCGATTTGTTAGTTGTTTGGAATGGGTGTTGTCTCAATTGATTGGAATCATCAAGATGAGTTCAAAACTTAAATTTCAAGTGATTTAGGCTATATTTGAGTTAAATTTCAGAAATTGAGTTTTCCGATTTGTTAGTTGTTAGGAATGGGTGTTGTCTCAATTGATTGGAATCATCAAGATGAGTTCAAAACTTAAATTTCAAGTGATTTGGAGTAGCTTTAGGC